TAGCTAGGAAGTACGATCGGTTTTATCGCCGTTTTCATTTGTTTTTAAATAGGAGTTGATGCACCTTATAGTCCACCGTGGTTTAACCCAACGGTGGAATCGATCCTTACAGCCGGTTGCAAGAACGATTGTTAAAATATCTCGTTAGCTAAAGAACAAATAACTAACTGAGATTAAAACTGGCAACGGCGCTTTTCCAACTGACAGTCTGTCGCTTCACAGCTTCACGGGAGATTTTTATATTAGTCGTTTTCCTTTGACGTATGGTTCTGGTTATGGTTGACGTTAAATTGACAGTATTTTTGACAGCGGTTCAGATTTTGGTTCATATGGATGACGTCATAACAAAATCCAATGGAATGAATTGGGTTATTGGTTCGGTCAGTCATATGTCATTTTGGTGTAAATTTAAATACCACGTGTGACTCATTTTTAAAGTTAGTTCTTAATTTTATTTTCTTTTAATTTTTGTGTGTAGTTAGTTATTTGCCAAAGAAAACACTAAAGCTATATGATATAGAAGAAAAAATATTAACTAACTTAAGTCTTTAATATAAAAATAAAATAGACACTACCGACAGGGCAATTAACAGACGAAAATAATACTAACTAATTTAAAACTCTTTAAAATAAAATAGAAATAAAACCGACACTACCGACAAAGCATTTAACGAATGATGCAGACCTTTTTCTAGCGATAAACAGAATGATAATCTTCTTTTGAAAAATAGTGGCACATTTTTGAATCTCATTTCAGTCCAAGACTTAATCTTAATGGTGTTAAAATAAACACACACACACGCCCTTGAAGATTTCATGTCACATTGTGGTGCGAAGACGTGGCTTGTATAAATTTGGGGTATCAGTTGATAGAAAACAGTACGCAAAAATAAATTTAAATCTGCAGATGCATCAGAGATAGCCATATTCCATACCACAATATGTCATGCGTGAACTCGATGAGATTTCATCGGCTAAGTATCATTCCTCTGTAATGTTTTGTATCATTAGTAACACGCAACATTGTAAACAATTATGACCAGGGTTTTCTGACCTTTTCCCTAGGTCAGAGATAATAAATGAATACTAAATAATGTATAGTAATAAAGATTGAAAATATATATACTTTTAAGAGTTTTATTATGTCAGCCATAGTTTTATACTAAAAATGAAAATAAACTGAAATTATACATTAAAAATACATTCATAAATAACTATATTTATAACACTCATCGACTCTCTCCTGGCTAAAATATGACTTATCTATCTATTAGGCTCTGTTCCGTCTATTTTTTGCCTTTAGCCTCCTTCTGACACTTCCAATCGTTCTTATTCAGTGTAGTATTCACATAGTTTTCAGAATATCAAGTGTTATACCTATCTGATGCTTGGTCCTGCAAAGTTCATCTTCAGTACACCTGCTTATGTGACATCTATCTCAATGTCAAGTTTGATTGAACACCCGTTTCTTGCCTATTACTCTTATACTTAACCAGAACTAGCTTAGACTTAAACGCATATGTCTAATTCGGCCAAAACACAGCCTTGGTACACAAATATCTATTTTACCGCTGGTTTCATTACAAAAAACTGGAGTAAAGGGTAAAATGATCTCTTGTCCAGTACACTCGTATAATACACTTGAGTATTGCCTGTATTATTTTTGATTGAAGACGTATACATTTAAAAATGTCGTTTACTTAAAAATAAACATTTAATTTTGATATTTTATTTAACTCGATCAAAACATTAAATTATTATTTTCCATGGCTTATACCGGACCTGTATGTACTCTAGTAGCTATGGAGTAGCTGACAGTGTTGCCGTCAGTTGCCGCCACATATTCTTTAGTGACATACGTTTTATAAATTCATCGTGTTAGAAATTTGTTGACATGAGGAGATAGAAATTTAAAGTGACGTCTTTTATTACTTCGAATGAAAAAACTCGATAATGCAATTTTCTAACCTAAAAAAAATCGTGATGATATGTCAAACAAAATTGAACTTGGCCTTAATGCGCAAACTCGAGTACAATACCCATTGGAAAACACAATTTCCAATGCTCGCAAGCAGGGGAATATTTTCCCATACTTCTCATTGGAAAATATTCCACCGCTTATGCCGAGAATACGAAAACTGAATTCCCATGGGAAAATAAAATTTTCCCATGGGAATAAAAGTCGAGAATCGACCCCCTGGGGGTCGATTCTCGACTCGTAGGAATATTTTTTTTTTTTTTTTCTTTATTGGTCTCAACTTATACAAGTTATTTAACCAGCACTAACATTAGTTACATGAAAATAAATACAATAAAATTTAAAATACTATTTGACTCTGTAAAATTAAAAAAAAAATAAGGTGAACAATATTTTTTATAAATTAATGTTAGAAGATTTTAAAAATGACATAATTATGGCTGTACTGCAAATTGGTTTTCGTAAATAATCATTTAGACATAAAGGGGAATACTGGGGTCGAAAAGCTAAAACCATTTTTTGGTATAAGAATTTTATATTATCTGTATTATTACTGCATTCCATCAAGATATGACCTAAACTTCCAATTTCACCACAGCTGCAACTTGGTGAGTCAAGGATACCAATTCGGAACAAATGAGCAGAACTATAGCAGTGACCAATTCTCATTCTGCACATTGTACCGATTTGTCCCTTTGTTAATTTAATTTTAAAAAACCAGGGTGTTCTAGGCAGTTTGTTTAATATATTAAAAAGTTGCTTTCCCTTAGTTTGACTCAGTTCTCGCCATTCTTCACTCCAATCATCCCAAATTTTATTTTTAACTCTGGGTAGCATATTTCTATAATCCATTGTCATTACGTCAGAATAATGTTTGTTAAGTCCTAATTTAGCAAGTTTATCAGCTATGACATTTCCCTTTATATTCGTATGACTAGGTATCCAAGCAAAAGTAATATTTATATTCTTAAGTTTTGCATCGTAAATCTGACTTTTAACATTTAAACTGCAGCTATCTGAACAGGATAGTATACCTAATCTTTGTATTCTCTGAATAGCACTAGAAGAGTCCATACATATAAGCACATTTTTGCAGTCAGATTTAATAATTTGAATTACAGCCATTTCCACAGCTTTGATTTCTGCAGTGCAAATATTAGTTCCATCTGCCAAACGTGAACTAATATTATAGTTTAACTCGGGAATGTGAACTCCATAGCTTGCTCTATAAGAGGATAGGTCTACAGATCCGTCTGTATATACTAAAGTATAATTAGGAAATAACGTGTTTATTGCAATGGTAAAATTTTTTGAGTTATCCAAACAGTCTTTCTTTAAACCTAAACTCACAATGTTAATATCCATAAATTGTGAAACAAAACTGAATTCAAAACATGGACAATTTTGATTTTTTTCTATTTGAGAAATATAGGGTAGACAAAATTGAACTTGGCCTTAATGCGCAAACTCGAGTACAATACCCATTGGAAAACACAATTTCCAATGCTCGCAAGCAGGGGAATATTTTCCCATACTTCTCATTGGAAAATATTCCACCGCTTATGCCGAGAATACGAAAACTGAATTCCCATGGGAAAATTTTATTTTCCCATGGGAATAAAAGTCGAGAATCGACCCCCTGGGGGTCGATTCTCGACTCGTAGGAATATTTTCCTATTCGCGATTCAAATTAATTTTCGCGCGCCTGTCATTTGTCACGTATAAGTAGGATGTTTTTTATTTACGTGTTGTGGGATTTTGTATTTGTGATTTTTTAACTGTTTTTAGATAATATTCTTATTATAATAGTGTTTTTGAGTTTCATTTAGTGTTAATTTAAGTTTAGTTTTCGTGCTTTCGTTATAAATGTAATATTTTTCATGTGTAGTATGAACTAATTTGTTGGAAATATTGACCTATTGGTTGCTACAAGAACATCTAGAAATATGTATTTACTAAACCCAGGACATGTTTTATTATGTGGTTTAAAGGACATATCAGGTACCAAACGTTTATTATTGATGAACTTCTTTAAAAATCTTACTATCCTTATTCTTATATCATGAAGTGAATTGTGTAGTACTTTGTATACATGTAAATGGTAATAAAACTGTCACAACTCATATTGGAGTTTGATTCTAAACAACGTTTTGCAAAATTTCAATATTGTGAATTTGTAGATACCCATTTATCCTAAGAAACAAAATTTTATGACTTGTACTTGAAAAATAATGATACTTCAGTTTTGATTTTGACAATAACACCATATAGATTGCAATTTGCTGGAGGCTTTTTCGCAGATTTCATTTTTAATTTAAATACTATCACATACTATAAGAAATAAACAAATTTAAAGCTAAAAAGTAACAAAAAACTCTAATTGTAATTGATACAAATTAAAATGTAAACAATGAACAGGAACGCCGATGTTGCCAAATGATGAACTGATTTTGTCTCTGACTGATTTTAAAACTAAAAATAAATGAACTGAAATTTAAAAAAAAATCAATATAATAAATCGATTGTATAAAAAAATCCTTAAATAAAAGTATGATTACATATTACTAGACACAAATTTTGATTCTTAAATAAAAGGTCTTATCCATTTCTTCAAGAACTAAAATCCGACGACGTAACGAAATTTTGCTGCTTCTGGCAACACTGAATGTCATCCTACTTATAGGGACCTTCTACTAATTTCCTCCAGAGGGCGTATCACTTAGCTTGAATCGCGAATAGGAATTTTTGACAGTTTTATATACATCGAAAATGTATGACATTGTCCTACATATAGGAAAGTGTCACAAATTCCTATAGGAAAAGGTTCCTACAAGTCGAGAATTGACCCCCTGGTCTTGTATGGTGTCGCAACAGAGTGCTCGCTAGCTTGATATAGCCAAAATCGAAGTATGTGGACAAAATAACTATGACGTCATTGAGCACTTGTCAGTGTGAGAGGGCGAAATAGCCTTGTAAACAGAACGTAGCCCAACTGTCATTCAATAATGTCAAAAGTCAAAAGGCTATTTGTCATGTGTCATGAATGAATAATATAAATAAAAATATCCAAAAGTAATGGAATATTTGTATATGGAAATAATTTTAATTTAATCACTACACTGTAATGCAAGATATTTAAGCCAGTTACGTATCAATTTTCAAATGGTTTAAAATGATGCGGAGAAAAAGAAAGTGGAAAATTAAAAAATGAAGTCGACCACTCTCATCTATTCCATTATAACGATTTATTTTTCGACCAATTTTATGATCTCGTCAGAAGTAGTGAATAAGAACGACGACGATACTGTCGTCGAAGGATTTATAGAATCACCGATTTGTTGTAATTTGACAACGGAGAGAGTGGAGCTTAATTATACCTCTAAAATCGTTGAAAATGAGTACATAGTAATGTTTAATGGATACTACAAAGACCAAGCTAGGATAAATTATATAAATACAGCACTGAATGCATCAGGAATACGTAAATGGAAGATTCTTAGCCGAGAAAACCCTGCAAGTGAATATCCAAGTGATTTTGATGTAGTCATTATTGAAGATTCTGAAAAATTGGAAGGGTTGAACGCTTTGAATGAACATCCGGCTGTTAAGAGGGTGACTTCCCAACGTATGGTATCTAGAACACTTAAAATAAGCCCTCCACAGAAAATAGGAAGGAATAGTCTTAATTCTAAGAATCAATTTAGGCATAATAACCGTAGATTGTTAAGAGCTATACCTAGGCAAATAACATCAGTACTACAGGCCGATTCTCTTTGGAACATGGGCATTACTGGTGAGTAGATGCAATTACAGTTTATGAAGTGCCCACCCTTACTGTTTTGGTTAAGTGTGATTTATTTATAAAATTACTAAAACATGTACAGTCGCTGCAACCCAAATGTGAATGATCTTTGGTTGTCATGGGATTTTTACTAAAATTCATTTGTGTAAGTTTGGCTTTGGCCACTGGTGTTACAAAGAGTGTAGATAATATTGAGAACAAATATATATTTGATATCAATATATTATATTAGGTACTTTTTGTTGAATTCATTTTTTTGCAAAAATGAGACTCTGCTACAATCTATTAGAATATCATCTAAGCCATCTTCTGATAAAGCTTCACTGACAACTTGACCAGTTAATTTTAAATTAAAATAATAGAAATTTGCCTATCTCTGACTTGACAATTGTCAAAAGAAATTTGCCTGACTCCACACTTTTGTTAAAAAGAATAACACTTGGGGATGATTTTTGTGTTACATTCAATGTTTATGTGTTAGGCATGAAGAACAAGCAATAAGTTTTTTTTTTATTCTTTGGTTATAATTTTCTTTGTTTTGAGGTACTTTTAACAAATAAAAATGCCAAAAAATTGATTAATAAATAAATAAGAATTTTGCCTATGTCCCATTCAAAAATAATATAATTCTCTGTTAACCCTTTAAGTATTAATGATTAGTTAAATATTATGTGAACATTTTAATAAAAAAACCTTTATTTTTTTAAAAAATAATGCTTTTTCTTATTCTCCCCAAGCATTTTTAATAACTTCCTCGATGACCTCCCATAGTTGACTGCAGTTTTCTGGCCTAAAGTCTTTTATCTTATATATCTTTTTGACTATGAAGCCCAATATATTTTCAATGGGGTTCATGTCAGGACTTTTTGCTGGACATGGAAAAACAATTATGTTGTTGTTGATCCACTCTTACTATTCAAGCCATATGAACTGGAGAATTATTCTGTAATAAAAATCGATTATTATAAACATTTACCATATACCAAATTGATTTCTTACATGTTGAAAGGTAAAATTGTCAGAAAAAACTTCTCTGCTTTGTCTTTGTATAAATGTTCTGGAAAGATTCCATGGTTTTATTTAACTATGTACCAATTGTGGAATAATTTTTTCAATCTCATGAATAATAAATCATTTTTATTTTTTACTTTTTACTAGCATACTTACTTAATACTTAATCATTCAAATTTTTAAAATGTAAGGAAGAGATAATAATAGCAGCTTTAATAATTTTGTATTTAGTAATATCTTATTTCTATTGGAATCCAGAATTTTTTTAACATTTGTTTATACTTTTTGATTTTTTTCATAACTGATTTTGGAGTGGTAAATGTAAATACTAATTTTCAGTTTATCACATCACAGTTTTAAAACCAGTACAGTTACGTAACTGAACTCTTCAACAAAACACTTCTACATCTTTTTGAAAAATTGGTTAAAAATTTGAGCTTTTTTTAATCTCTGATTTTGAACTGGTACATTTTTAAAGATGATCTACAAAATTTCTACAACTATTTACACAAAATTTTTACCATAGAAGTTGTATAGGAATAAGATACTTAAAAAACAATTAAAAAATAAATTGTGTCTTTTAATGACGTTGAATCGAAAAAATGTTTATTAGCATTTGATTGTTTTGTTTCTTTGAAAATGTTTCTGACAGTTTTCTGATTCTTTCCAGGTTAGACCGAATCTTAGTTTTTTCGTAGAGATATTCATTCGCTGGATGGTGTGTGGGGTTTTCTGTAAGTCGTATCTTGGTAATGATTCTTAGTGTAGAAGTTTCGGCCACTTGAATGTTTTTTAATGCAGGTTTTCGTATTCTAGCATAGGTCTGCATATTGTTTTGTAGATTTTAGTGGCCGTGTAGGTGTTGATACCTACTTTTTTGTATGTTATGGAATGGAAATGTTTGGCTCTGGCTATAATTTTATTTTTTTGTCTACGCGTGTGTTCATTGAAGTTCAGCTTATTATCTATAATAGGGCCTCGGAATTACAGGATGTATTGGTTGGTTTTAGTTAGATATGATGAGTGTAGGTCAGTGCTCCGCAACCGGTGTGCCGCGGCACACTGGTGTGCCGTAAGCCGACTTGAGGTGTGCCGCTCTTGCAGACAATACGAATCAGATTCGTATTGTAGCGAGACCCGCGAAAAATAAAGCAATCTGACCTAGCTACGCCACTGCTATAAATATATTTTAGATTTTGGTGTGCCACGAAATTCTAGGGAGCAGTTTGGTGTGCCTCAGATGAGGAAAGGTTGCGGAGCACTGGTGTAGGTGATGTCGGTCTTAGGTCATGATTGGGCATCATTAATTGACATTTTTGTGGGTTAACTTATAATCCCCATTTTTTAAGTAATTGAGCAACTTTGTTGTATTGATTTTGTAGTGCTGTGATGGTTTGATTCAGTGTAATTCCATGCGATATCAGGGTCGTGTCATCTGCATATTGGAGGATGTAATTTACTGCATTGAGGTGTAACTGACCTGAGGAAAAATCAAAGCAATATTATGTTGTATATGAGCGGAGAGACCGGCGACTCTTGCTTGATTTGCTATGAAACTTGAAGATTGGTGGGTTGTTTAATACTTAGAGTTCCAAATTCTAATTGCGGAATTCGGTCATTTATTAATGCTGATAGTTTGTCTTTAATGAGTTTTCTGAATAGTTTTTCCAAAACTGGAAGAAGGGTGATTGGTCTGTAATTATCAATTCTTTTGTAGTTTGTACCTGGTTTTGGGATAACTATGATGATGCCTTTTTTCCATTTACAGTAACGACTCATCTTGTATTACGAGTAACTTTTTATCAACAATTTAATACTCGTGTTGGTTTCAATGTATAGTAAATACTACATACTGTGTTTTCCCAAATTTTATTATGGGAAAATGCCCCTTGCTGTGTTTACGAAACAATTATCTCCGTAACTATAAGAGATAAAGCTATTCTGGGAAGTGCAGAAGATGCACAATAAACACAATATCTACTTGGGCTAAAAAATGCATTTTTAATCAAAATGTTGGATACTGTGCTTTGAAATGTGGCAGCCGAACTATTTTCGACCCCTTGATTTTTTTCTAAATGAATTTTGTCCAAAACCTTCACAACCCTAGGATCATTTAATTATGACAAATAAAAAATTAAAAATATCTCTGTTGTCATAACTTTTGATCACCAGAAATTTCCATATACATAATTTTCCACAAATTAGTCTAAAAGTATCAATATTTATAGTTTACTCACAAATTATTTATTATTTATATATTTTTTCTTTTTGTTGCATTGGATTTTTTTAGTGGGAGATCATTATTTACTTAAATATCTCTTTTTTCAAAGAAATTTTCCTCGATCAACAAAATTAAAATTAAACATAAAATCGAAAACTGTCTTCAGATAAATTTTGTTGCAGGAAAGGGCGTACGAGTCGCGATATTTGATACAGGTCTATCAAAAAACCATCCTCATTTCAAAAAGATTAAAGAACGCACCAATTGGACCAACGAAAAGACCTATGATGACGGTTTGGGACACGGGACGTTTGTAGCCGGGGTCATAGCGTCCAGCAAAGAGTGTTTAGGTTTCGCTCCAGATGCAGAATTACATATTTTCAGAGTTTTTACTAATAATCAAGTGTCATACACTTCTTGGTTTTTGGACGCTTTCAACTACGCCATTTTGAAGAAGATTAACGTATTGAATTTGAGTATAGGTGGGCCAGATTTTAAGGATCACCCGTTCGTAGACAAAGTTTGGGAACTTACTGCTAATAGGGTAAGTAATGGTAATGGTCCTTGTCTCTATTATTTGTCAGTTTTACGTAATTTTTCCTTCACTATAATTTTTGAGTGGAAGAAATTATGAGATACTATTAAATATTTAGGTCATCATGGTCTCTGCTATCGGTAACGATGGCCCCCTGTATGGTACTTTAAACAACCCAGCGGATCAAATGGACGTCATTGGAGTAGGTGGTATAAATTTCGAAGATCAGATTGCAAAATTTTCATCAAGAGGAATGACTACATGGGAGCTTCCTCAAGGTAGGCTCACAAAAAATTTGTTGAATCTGTGATGATTTTTTTTATAACTCGCTAGGTTATGGCAGAGTAAAACCCGACATAGTCACGTACGGTTCTGCCGTGAAAGGTTCCCACATCAAAGGGGGTTGTAGAACGCTTTCCGGAACAAGCGTAGCGTCTCCTGTGGTAGCAGGAGCTGTAACTTTATTGGCCAGCGGTGTGATACATCGTGGTGACGTTATTAATCCTGCTAGCATGAAACAGGCTTTGATGGCGTCGGCTAGGAGGTTGCCGGGAGTGAATATGTTTGAACAGGGACATGGGAAGTTGAATTTAATGAAGGCTTATCAAATTTTGAATACTTATACGCCGCAGGTGAGTTGTTTTTTGATTTAGAATTTAGATTATATTTTGGGTTTTAATGGAAATATAGGTGTCCCATTTTCCTGGATTATATTAGGATACAATTTTTAGTCCGAGAATGTTTAACTTACAATTAGAGAGTGTGGGATTAGCTTAGAAGTTTGAACTATTTTATGGGATATTTTTAGGTTTTTAAAAAATACACTTTTACGTTTTCTTATGTTTTATAACAATTCGTTAATTTTTCATTGTTTTGTTCTGGTATGTTGTAGAAGTGTGTTCCGTTGTTATGTAGTTTTGTACCAGCTGACATACCATTATCAAATAGGTAGCGACTTGGGATATAATCTGAAAAATAATGTAATAATATAATTAATAATACAGGAATAGTTTAGTTAAATAAAAAAAAATTACTGATAAAAGAATGTATGGTATCAAATGAAAATATACAAAGAAAGCAACTAGGGCAATTTGTTTTACAATTTATTATATAATGTATCTTTTAATTTACGGACAAGCCCATTTAAATTAATAATTACAATTTTAAAATATCACAAATATTTATGGAGTTGTAGCAAATATTTGAAAATAAAATTTAACTGAAAATTAACCAATCATAATTCAAATAAATTGAAACCATATTGTATATAATGTACAAAGAACAATAAGTAAGTTGAAAACTAAAAAAATACACATTAACATTAAAGCTCAGTATTAAATAATTGAAACCATATTTTATATAATGTACAAAGAACAATAAATAAGTTGAAAACTAAAAACATACACATTAACATTAAAGCTCAGTATTAAATAATTGAGTTTTTAATGATGAAAAGGGAATGTTAAACAGCCTAAGATCAATGTGTATGTTAGCCAATCTAAGGATTCTTGGAATGCAGCTGTTAAACAGTTTGGTTTAATCTATAAAAAGTCACAAAATATTTGCAGTTGCATAGTTGAACAAGAAGATTTATTTTTGCAAGAAGTTCAAAACAATTGCATCTACAATTTTTTGTAATAATAAATAGCAGAGCAATAAGGTTTTTCTCTTTTCGCCAAGTTTCCAAGGAGGTTATGTTCAGAAATTGTTATGAAGTCATATTCACAATAAACACCCAATTCTGAAAAAATCCAAAATTTTCACGAATTTGTAGAAAATATTAAATAATATGAAAATAGTACATAGAAATTCAAATACAATTTTATATAATAGAGGAAAATTCGAGTAAAAACAGAATATAATTATAAAGCTACTATTACAAAACGAACCCACTTTTATTTCAGGCCAGTCTCAGTCCGAGCTACATAGATCTCAGCGAATGTCCGTACATGTGGCCATATTGTACCCAGCCGCTCTACCACACCGCCATCCCGCTTATAGTCAATGTAACAATACTCAATGGTCTCGGTGTAACAGGACGCATTGCAGGCAAACCGCAGTGGTACCCGTACACGCCACAACAAGGCCATTTACTTGAGGTGGCCATCACTTACTCGGAGATGTTGTGGCCTTGGTCCGGCTGGATGGCAGTCCATTTATCCGTGACTAAGGAGGGGGCGGCATACGAGGGGTACGCTCAGGGGCATGTGGTGGTGACGGTGGAGAGCCCTCCCGGAAATGGGGAGACTGAAGTGAGGCAAAGTACTGTCAAATTGCCTGTACGGTAAGTTTTCTTGTATTGTTAAGCAATTATCGAAGTAATTACGGTGCAGTTTTAAAGATTTTCTAATAAAGTGAATTTTGTACAATATCCTAATCGCTGTAAATAATGATACATTGGCCATGTTCGTCGTCGTCAAATGTGTTGTAATGATGTGTAATTGGTGACGATGAACTATCAACCGCCCCACTACTCTTCAAATCATGATGGATAATAATAAAAGCTCAAATAGAATATGATTTTATGCTTCAAAATTATAAAATTGTAAGATGTTTTCTTGCCTCTGAGAAAATATAACCCTTACAAGTGACACCCTAAGACTCGGAAGTACTCGAGCGCCAGTTTTATTAATGTGGTTTGCTCCACAGTTCGGGCAGCTTCTAGTGGAGGTGACGGAATAACTCCAGAGGTCTCGTTGCTATCAGACTATTAATAAAAGAAGGTAACAATAACGGGCTTTAATCGTTATTGTTACGTAAAAGTATTCGGAAGCTGAAAAAAAAAAAGGTGAAAGGTCGACACACAATTATAAGCCAGAATTCAAAATTAACACATGTATTCCTTACGAAAACTAATAACAATTGTAAAATATTTCAAAGCCCACCCCTTAATTGGTCATCATAACCCTGAACAACAAAAAAATAAGAGAAAAAAAAAGAATAGCGGTTGCGGAACGATAGCTGTGACAGGACGGAGCTCAATCAGACGTTTATTAATTATTTACAGAAATAGATCAAAGGAATAAATAAAGTTTACTATTTTGGGCCGTGGCTGTGTTTTAATTATTATATTAAGTTTTAAAAGCAAACTGAACAATGGTTTAATGGTTTTCAAAGTTAATTAGTACCAGGTATTGGAAACGTTATTATTCCCAAACAATGTTTGAATTAAATAAAAAAAATTATGGAACTCACCCTATATTTATAAAAAAAACTTAAATATTCTTGTCGGTTTTATTTCTTTAAGAAATATAAGAAAAGCAATGACAATTTCCCTTATTAATATCAAAACTATCTTTAATAATAAAAATAATCAGAAACTACCCCAATAACAATATTCAAACGGCTAGTCAAACCCATGAGACCCACTCTCGCGGATAATCGCTAGCTTCAGATATTAACCTATAATTGTTTAAAAATAAATTGTAAACTACCCCAAATGATACTAATAATAATCGGAAACTACCCCAAAACAATATCCAAAATGCTAGATAAACCCTTGAGAACCACTCTCGCAGGCAGTCACTAGATTCAGATATTCTAAAATTCCTTGAAAATAAAACGAAAACTACCCCAATAATATTATTAATAAGCGGAAACTACCCCAAAACAATATCCAAATGGCTAGTCAAACCCTTGAGAACCACTCTCGCAGATAATCGCTAGGTTCAGATATTATTCTAGAATTTAAAAAAAAAAATGAAAACCACTTCAAATAATACTAATAATAATCGGAAATTACCCAAAATACAATATCCAAAATGCTAGATAAACCCTTGGGAACCACTCACGCAGGCAGTCACTAGATTCAGATGTTATTCTAAAATTCTTTGAAAATAAAACGAAAACTACCCCAATAATATTATTGATAAGCGGAAACTACCCCAAAACAATATCCAAATGGCTAGTCAAACCCTTGAGAACCACTCTCGCAGATAATCGCTAGGTTCAGATATTATTCTAGAATTGTTAAAAAAAAAATGAAAACTACTTCAAATAATACTAATAATAATAATAATAATAATCGGAAATTACCCCAAATACAATATCCAAAATGCTAAATAAACCCTTGAGAACCACTCTCGCAGGCAGTCACTAGATTCAGATATTATTTTCTAAAATTTGATTAATTATGGAACTCCCCCTATAATAGTTTTTGAAAATTACGAACTCTACTTAAAAGTAATACAAAATTTATTCTTACTCTGGTACCAATTAATTTTTAACCTGTTTTATAGGAAAAATGGGAATGTATATTTCAATAATTTCAAAAATTTCTGAAAAGAAAAACCAGAAATTTTTATACAACTTGAATCGAAATGCTAAAAAAAAGCAAAACTAGGCAAAAAAAACAATAAACACAGCCGATAAAGCCAGTTTCCTACCTGAGGTCGGGACAGCGGGATTCGAAGAGCTTTTGTAACTACTTGTTGCCAGAACTGATCATCGACGAGAACAGCACACCTCTGTCAATTCAGTTTTTTAGCATTTGTCTCGATTTTGATTAAAAGAAATGGATATTCGTTATGAAAACATACAGTACATGGTAGTAATTGTTAATTATTTGACTATAATTCAAGAAAATCAAATCAAGTTTAAAATTTGGGGTTAAGAAAACAAAGCGTAAACAAAAGGACAGTTCAGCGTCAGCTCATATTATGAAATATGATTCTGTTTCTTAAAACACGTTTTACTACGATGAACACAGCCATTATCTTTTTTTATTTTGATAGGGCCAAAATTATCCCTGTACCGCCGAGACACAAACGAATACTATGGGATCAGTACCACAATTTGAGATATCCTCCTGGTTATTTTCCGAGGGATAACCTCAAAGTGAAAAACGACCCGTTAGATTGGAACGGCGATCATATTCATACCAACTTCAAGGATATGTATCAGAATTTGAGAAATACCGGATATTACGTGGAAGTTTTAGGTAAAACTTTAAGTTGACTGTTCATTGTATTTATAGGTATTTATAGGTAAATTTAATGTGAAATTGATAGTAAACAAAAGAAAATGGAACTTAAAATTGTATTACAAGAAAATGGTATGTAAGATACCAAATGGAAAAATAGTCCAAGAAAATTTAATGAAAAACCGGTAATAAAAAATAGGATATCTTAGTAAAATTTAATAAAAAAAAATAATTAGAAGAAAATTTTATGTGAACTATAAAAAATTTAGGTCTGAAAAGAAAGTATGTCACATAGTGCTAAAATTTCGAAAAAAGCGGAGGGGCGATTAGTGAAGAAAAATAACATCAAAATTAAGAAAATGTTGTTAAAACATAGGAGTAATAAAAACTAGTCCAAGAAAATTTAATGTAAAATCGAAAATAATAAAAAAAAAATAATAATAAGGGGGTGGGTGACTCAGTGGTAGAGTCTCTCCCTGGGATCCAAGGGTCCCAGGTTCGAATCCCACTGTTGGCCGGGATTTTTTTATTTAATTTAATTATTTAAAATTAATTCTGATGCCTTGGTAGGATTCCCCACTCGACCATTCACTGTTGGGTTCTAAGTGGCGCTGGGAAACAGTAACCGATGCCGATGACACCAAATAAAAAAAAATTTGTAGGTATTTTTTAGATAACTATTTAATACAGTTCGAGAAATTAAAATTAGTCCTGAAAAATTTTAATGCAAAATGAAACAAAAAATAATACAGGAATAATATTTAAATATGTAGAATTAAATTAGCATACTGAGAATACATTAAAAAAACATTTTTACCCTAAAGGATCACCGTTTACCTGCTTCGACGCCTCCCAATACGGCACCCTCCTTATCGTCGACCCAGAGGAGGAATTCTTTCCTGAGGAAATAATGAAAATAAAACGCGATGTTGACTCCGGTCTCTCGGTTATCGTATTCGCCGATTGGTACAACGTGACAGTCATGAAAAAGGTCAAATTTTATGACGAGAACACGCGACAGTGGTGGATGCCCGACACAGGTGAGGAACATTTTTGATAAATCGTTCGGTTGGATTATTATTCACTTTTCATTTCCGTACTGGCGTAGGTGGCGCTAATGTTCCGGCGATAAACGAGCTGTTGGCATCGTGGGACGTGCAATTGGGCGACAGAGTGTTCGAAGGGAAGTTCAAATTAAAGGAACACGACGTGTATTACGCGTCTGGAACTAGTATCCGAACGTTCCCGAAAGATGGCATTGTGATAGCTAAGAATTTGATCGATCAGGGAACTGAGGTAATTAATAATTCTTAAAAGAATTTTAGAACATTGATTCTAGCTGTTTTTTAGCGTTTTCATTTATGAGTATATCTGCTGCAAAAACAAAGATTCAAGTAACTCGACTTACTTGATTCTTTCTTTTTATCCATATTTGGGTTTCACTTTTGACACTTTATGTCTCTACCAATCCTGGTAATTAAATGGTGTTACATTACCAAGTTATTTACAGCTACATTTTAGCATCTCTTCTTCTAGTCGAAAAATATTTTAGTAAATCTTCTTACTTGCAAGTTTTGTATTATCCTATTCTTATTTATAATTTATCTTTGTATAAATAAATTTACTCGAGTTACTTGAGGAGATTTAACACTAGTGCAATTTAAGAAACAAGTTAGTCGATTTACTTTATGGTACGTACTATAAAATACAAACAAAGAATGAATCAACTTCACTTACCGTCGTTAAAACGATAGTAGAGATATATGTAACTAAACTTTTTTAAAATATTGCCAAAAAATAAGGTGGGGTAACAAACCGCTTTACGCTACTTTATGCAAGTTTGAAAATAATTCAGTATTTAATATTTGTCTATAAGTGTAGTTATTAGTGCGCATAAAAAATAAAATATGTCTAGTCGAGGAAGAAAACTGCTTGAAATGTTAGCAATACCATACAGTAGTAAACACCGACGGCATTGGAATAACTCCTATAGAAGAAATATCCCCAAAACAGATTGGGGTCCAAAGGGATGATCGTAGACAAATAGAAAACCCTGATTCCAATGATACTAATGAAAATAACAAGACTGGACATAAAGACTTTAAGAAAACCAAAAAATGTTATGTATCTCAACTACTTGAGCCAAGCAGAAATGTCGTGAACGATTTAATGATGATGAAAGAAAAATAATTTTTAAGAATTGTAACGATTTAAATTTCAAAGAAAAAATACTGTTTTTGCATAAATATATCGTCAAAAAAGAAATTAAATATAGAACAGTCGATGCAGTTGTACCCAGAAAGTTTTCGATGGTATATAACTTACCAAATGTTAAAATAGAATGGCAGCCAGAAAATATATTGTCAGATTCGCAGTCGAAAACCAGTAATACGATGGTAGATTTGGTTAACGTAGACACTGTAGAAGATGATTCGCAGCAAGTAAACTTATTGTCCAGTCTAAAACCAAAAGCATGATAATGGTTTGTAAAAGTATGTTTATTTAGATCTGACTCCATAATCATCGGTTCCTTAAAGAGAACAGTAAATGATTTACAAAAGAGGCCAAAAAAGGGCTGAGACAGTGAAAGCAATCGCAGGCAAAAATTATGCAGATTTAAAAAACATTGATTTCTACCATCCACAAGTGTCACATTATAATTTAGAGCATGCCCCGAATAGCAGGCATTTACCTTGTAATATAACAATTCGTGAAACGTACAAAGACTTTCTATCAAAGTTTTATAAAATAAGCTATGAAACCTATAGAAAGATATTCGACAGAGAAAATATAGGTGAGTGTGGAATGTGCTCCATCTATAAAAATCATGTTCACGAAAATGATATGCCAAACACATCGATTTTAACTGGCCCTAATAAATGTGAAGGTGAAGAAGCAGGACTAGTAGAATTAAACAAAGCGGTATGTGACAGTTGCAAGAAATACGACAATGATAAAACTCGATACAGTGTAGCAAGAAAATACAATGAAGACTTGAACAAGAAATGGACATTAGATTTTGAAATTTACTCTGTTGACATGCAGAAAATTTTAATATTACCAAAAATGACCAGCAGATTGGTTGCATTTCATGAAACATTTGCCAATTTGCAAGCAGCAAATGAAAATAAATGTGTACTTTGGCATGAGGCCATTAGGGGACGGAATGGGCCAGACGTTGTCTCGGCCTTTTACAATGTACTAAAAAGATTAAATAATGATACAAAACACGTAATTTTTTGGATTGACAACTGTACAGCACAAAATAAAAACTGGGCCCTTTTTACACCTTGTGTCATATTCGTTAACGAAGTGTGGGGACCAGAAAGTAACACCAGTAAAATTATTTTATATTTATTTATACCCTGAAAAAAAGCAGAGCAAAATATTTAATTAAAAAAAAAAAAAAAAAAAACACTGTGGGTTCAAATCTAAAGAAGTAATCTGGAAAACCATTTAAAAAAAATAAGGTGCTCTACCCAAAACCTCTAGATTTTGGGTTACTTGATTCTTGCTTTGTACAGACATCTCGATTCTGCATTAGCTACCTGCTCTTGCCTGATGATGCCTCAACTAGACTCCTTCTTAGCCAAATCAAGGCGCATAAAATTAAATTGCACATTTTTGAAATGACAACTTTTTTGATGCGCTTGCATAACTTTTTTCCAGAGTTGTTTATTGGACTGAGCCGTCACATTCGGCTATGTAACGTTTATTCAGGTAATCTTGACTTAAGAAATCGACTGCAGCCAAGCGAGTATAGCAGTGCAGCAAGACAGCTTAGCTCATTTACAACCCAGGAAAACGCATCGTGCATTGTTCCCATTTTTACATCTCATTTCTATTTATTACTGACAATAATTTCTTGATTAAAATTGTATTGTTCGAGCATAATTTAATAATCACAGGTTCATATATATATTTGCCAGAATTTGTTGGGTATACTCATAAAATAAAATTAATGATACTTATATTTTATAATATTAATCTCTCTCTCTCTCTTCCTGATTCGTTTAGCCAATATCCGTAATAATTCTAAAATAATTTTCTTTTTCTTTTTATATATATTACATAAAATTACCAATGCCAAATACATTTTCACTTTTAACGTGTGGTACACACCCTTCTATGTTATCAAGTCTGTAAACATTCATACGGTCTTTATTTTGAATTACAATTTTGGTATTAGATATTGGGCGAACCAGATACCACTCAATACAAAATCCCAATTTTGGGCCTGTTCCAAACAAAATCTACCGAAAAGAAGAGCGGCAGAATTATCGTCTATGGCGATTCCAACTGTATCGATTCCAGTCATCTAGACATTGCCTGTTATTGGCTCTTGGACGCCATGTTGGAATACACCTCAACATCACACTTGCCCTCAGTATTCAAGGATAACCAACTGTTAGTCTGGGACGGAGTTGCTGAAACGGAAACACCCCACAGGATGGAGGGGAATCGGCTATATAGGTGAGTAATAATTCGAAAATATCGTTTTATTTTACTCTAAATATTCATGGTAGGGGGGAGCCAGTGACACATTTTCGGTACCCTTTATAAATCATTAATTCTTGCCTTTTAGAAGATGAAAATACTTTTCTGCAGACGAACCAGTGGTGGAGCGCTTGATGACTGTCTGCTAATGTTACATATTTAATTAAATAGTTAACTGGACATAACCCTTTATGGCTAAGGTCGTTAAGCTCTCAACTTTTTCATTTTTTAAAAAGAAATGCGCTAGTTCAGTGTGATGTCATTTTGGTTCCACTTTTAACAAAAACATCAATAGATTTGACATATACGTTTTTACTGTTTTTAGTTTATTTCTAAATATTGTTTACATGACATAAAAAATAGTTTAAAGGTATATGTAATTGGTAACTAAACGATTGTATATTTGATACATGCTATCTACTTACTTTAGGAATATATTTATAAAAGTGAAAAAAAAAAAAAAACGATATAATTTAGGTAAACAAAACGAACAAAACGCACTCAAAAAATCTACTGTCACTTTAATTGTCAGTGGAACCATAATTACATCATCACTGAACTAGCGCATTAAACATTATAAAATACTTTTGGTTGGGGAGCCAGTGACACTTTTAGTGTGTTATTTGCGCAAGACAGAATGATACATTTTTCGTTCATTGTAAAACATGGAAATATTTTGCTGCAGTCCCTGCAGCCTTGGAGCACTCGACAATGTTGTCTTAAAAATGCCGCTATAAAAGTGCTAATGTCATAAAAGTGTAAGCTTGAAATTTACATAATATTGTTTACATCAAACATTAATAGAAGCAAGTTTGCAACCTTGGTAGCGGTGGGAATAAAACTTGCTGTTGTGACCTTCAAGTTTGGAAAAAGTGAGAAGGTACTACGAGACGAAATTCAAGAAGTTCAGTCACTGCCAGGTTATAAATATATACTTTTTCATAAATATAAACGCAGCGCTGTAGTATATTACATTACGAATATGAAAAATCACTTTTACACACGTGGTATACAATTTTCTCCTAGGACTACAAAATTATTTAATTAAAAATATGTTAAACTAGGACGAGAGTAATACGAAAGAGTGCATATTGCTAATACGAGTTATGTTAACTATAAATAAAAATTATGATCTGAAAGTAACATTAAAATATATTTTTCTAAAAATCATCTTATAAATTTGAGGTGCGTCTTATCGTCTGGTGCGTCTTATCTTCCGGTGCGTCTTATCGTTCAGTGCATCGTATCGTCCGGTACGTCTTATCGTCCGGTGCGTCTTATCGTCTGGTGCTTCTTATAGTCTGAAAAATTCGGTAAATACAAAAAATATTAGAATGCAGTAATGCTTTTTATCAGTTTTTCTTTTAATACAACAAATAAGATTAACAACTGACTATGAACTTTTTCTATTGTTAAAGATGATACCTACTTGCTTACTTACAATTTTTTTATCAAAATAGTACAAAATATAGAGCGGAACAATTAATGTATTACCTAACTGTATTTATAAACAGCAATAGTCATATTTTTTTATTTTCAAAATAAAAAATAAGATTGTTTTTATCAGGAATTGAACCAGAGTCGCGAAGTCCAAAATTGAGCACTTAACAATCTGTGCCATGAAGGCTTATGTAATAATTATTATATAATCAAATATATCCACAAGCCTTTTCTACTTTTCTTCTTTAAGACCGTCATTTAGCGTTCCACCGCTGGTGATTCTGCAGCAAAGGATGTTCATGTTCTACAGGATAAAAATGGTCGAAAATTTTGTCTTGTGCAAATAACACATGTAGAAATGTTACTGGCTCCCCTACCATCAGAAATGTTAAATGAAGGTGCATAACATAACACTTTATGCTACTAAAACACGTGTCAAACAATGTGATATTGTCAACAAAACGCAAGAACACCAAGTTACTTTATGAAATTTCTTTAGACAAATAAAGAGCAGGAATAATAGTGAATTATTTTTAAGATATTCAAATGTACTGGAGAAGAATTTGGGCGAGGCGCAGGCCAGGCCGATACCTCAGTGTCCGCATTTGATGTGGGCGCACCCGATACCGCTTAACGTTTCAGCTCCTACCAACCTCTATCAGTCTCAAAAGTTATTGTCACTCATCGAAGAGGTGAATATTGTGTTGCCGGTTGATAATAATATTAAAGGTAATTAATTATTTTTTAGGTTTTTTTTTATTAAGATTGGTAATTCGTTCTAGCAAAAACTTTTTTTTTTAATTATGATAGAGGAACATTGATAAAAAAAATGAGAAAATTAATATTTTCAAAAAATGGAAGATATCTGAATAAAACTGACATTTTATTTTAAAAAATACAAAATTAATACTTATTTTATTGTTAAAAATTTTGTATATTTTTTTTGAGAATTTTTGAAATTTGGAAACAAAGAATAACTAGATGAATAAAAATGTGTCCATTTATTAAATTATAATACAAATGTATAGATAGAAAATTTGTTAAAAAAAATGAGAAAAACAAAAATATAGTACAGAAAAAGCTATTATAGTACGAATTACCAACTTCGTCGGCGTAATTGAAAATAAGATTAATCGTGTGTTGTGTAGATGCGTCTGGCATCGACGGCAAAGGCGAATTCATCGAATGGAGTTGGCGCAACAAACCGGCCGCCAACAAATTCGGTGGGAAAGCGGAAAGTTTCGACCTCACCATGACTCTTCTGGTGTTTCTGTCGCTGATTGTGATCTACTATAGCATCAAGTGGTACAAACCCAAACCAAAGAAGCGGAAGCTGTGCAAGCGATTGCTCTCGATCATTCATTGTAGACGATCGTCGACCGTTTGAGATTTTTTCTTTACGATTTTAATTTTCTGATTTATAATTGGAAATTTATTCTTAAGTGCAATATTCGGTATTAGTGGTATATAATAATGGTTCGCAAATTTGATTTTTTTGTAGAAAAAAAAAAAAAAAATAGAAAATAGAAAAAAGTTACAGAAAAAAATTGAGAATTCGGAAAATAAATATAACTGTGAAATGGTATACAAAAATGTGGAAATTGAACATTTATTTTACAGGAAAAAGCATTGATAGAACGAAAATGTTTTTTATAGATCCAGGAAAATTGATATTTAATAAAGTATTTATTTTTAGTGTATACATCACAAATTATTGTACATCACTTTATGTTAAAAATAGTTTAATCAAATTTGTGAATGATTTTGAGAATTCATTGAAATGTTAACACTTCTTTTTTTTTTATTGTACTAAAAGACAGTATATTAATACTAATATTGTATAGTTAAATTAAAAAAAAACTATTCTTTTGTACATAGTCACCGATTTTTTTATTTAAATATATAAATGTCAAATAAAACTAAATTGGAAGTTTTTTTTAACACTTTAAACGCTTTTTGTATACATATTATACACATCCGACAAGGTCCAGGGCGTCGTGTGTTTACGATTTATGCGCTCTTAGTAAACATTTCTTATAGGAGTCTTTTTTTTGCAAATTTGTGAAAACTAAAACGATTAAGTCGAGTATTAAAAAAATCTACTAAATTCATAACTACGATCAATTCAATTATTTTCCGGGATGGCTGTAGTTCTTTCCAGGTTTTATATTCCTTTCCGCTATTTCGAGATGCCTTTATTAGATTTCTTCTCCAGGCACTTGGATTTTTTTTTCTTTTACGGGACGTTCTTTTTGATACTTCTTCTTGATAACCTTCCCCATCTGACAAAACAAATTCGGGATCATTTTCGTCATTTTCAGAAGCATAAGGGCCAGAGTCAGAGGATGACATGTACAAATCGTTTTCCAATATATTATTCTTATTCTCATTAACTAATTTGTTAGATCCTCTACTTTTGGAATCACAGGGTCGATCGCTCAAATTTTTTGGTGCTATTTCACAATATACATCGGAGTTAGTATTGCTTGGTGGGTTGAAAAATATTTCTGGACATATTGTTGTTTTTGATGCCTGATCATTTAGGTATGTTAAAGATTCCTTCAAATGTAGGTAGGGTGGTGGTTCTATATTGGCAGAATCCATTAACCTAACAGCATATTCAGGAGGTACCGTACCATCATTGGCCTCTGGAGTTGGAGTTTTATCTGAAACAATAATAATTTTTCTCATAACAAATTTAATATCCAACAAATTCTCATTGGGAAAAAAATTAGGCATGCACACAATATAGTTTGATGCTTAATTAAAATAATAATGATCCGGCATAAGAAGCTCGTGTTGAAAAAATAGGATGAAATTAAAAAAAGATCAAATAAAACAGCATGTCAAATAAAACAGGTGAATTTACCTTGTGGTTCTAAATTGGTCGAATCCATTGACATAACAGCATGATTTAAAGGTAGCGCTTCATCATTGTCAGTTGAATTTAAAGTTTTATCTGAAATAACAAAAAAGTTTTTTTCCATTAAAAATATCCAGCAAAACTTTATTTATAAAATCATTTAGTTATGGTTTATTTTAATAAAAAAAACGCGAGCAAACGAACAATAAATTTTCTTACCTATACATTCGTTTTCCTTTCCTTTAAGCAACTGAAGTATTTTTGCACTTCTTGAGTTCATCTTCAATAATTTTTGATTGAATCAACAATAGTGATTCTTATTAAGCAAAACGCAAATAAACCTATGTACTGAAACTGCTATTCTATGTCCACTTGCACTTATGCATAACTATTCTATGTCCACTATGTACTTAAATTGCTATTCTATGTCCACCGCATACTCGTGCAGAACTAGCCTATGTCCACTTAAGCTGGCCGAGATAGACGCGATCGCGGCGCTGGTCATAGATAGACTGATTCTGCATTGAAACAGACAGCGCTACTAAACATAGGCTAGTTCGAGTTGTGACCGATTAGAGCGCTAGCTGTGAAGATGGACTTACGATACTTCTGCATCCAATAAAGAAGTACTTTTACTTTCAAATGTACTTAAAATATCAAAATGGCCAAAAATGGACATAGGCTAGTTCTGCATCCAAGCAGCGAAGTATCCGCTATTACAATAATATAAAATAATGCTCCTTATATAATATCGTTTTTAAACAAACCAGTTAATAATCAAGAATGTGATACCTAAATCTAATTAAAAATGTTTCTTAGTTCTCTTTTGAAGAAAACTAACGAGATACAAAAAATATTACTATCATTACGGTAGTTTTTAAATAGCTCACTTAACATAGTGATAGGAGATCTTTTACCCACATTAGTATTGACATTTTTAATAAATAACAACTGCCGGTTACGCGTATTGCGATGAGGAATATGAAATGATATGAGAGATAATAAGTCAGGTACATAAAAGTAATAACAAATAATTTTGAACATAAATAATAAATCAGCTAATATTTTACACTGTTCTAATGATATTATAAATAATATTATAAAGAGAATTCCTTTGAGCAATAACACCGTTTAGAGACGAATAGATGAGATGGGTTAAGATGTGGAAAACATTTTATGCAATTTCTTGCAGACCAACAGATTCTCTCTCCAGTTGGACGAGTCTACATTACCCGCCAATGAAGATAGAATATGCTCCATATATTAAAGATGAAAATATGTGCTAAGAACTGCTTTTTGCTACATATTTAGAGACCGATAACAGAGGAGTATTGATTTTTCAGGCCTTGGAGCTTTTTTTACCAACAAAGCTATTCCATAGAAGAACATTGTTTCTGTTGCGACTGATATTGCATTATCTATGGTTGGTCGTCATCGTGGTTTTATAGCTCGCTTAAAGTCATACCTGCCTGAGGTACTGATGTTATGTTATGTTGGGAATGGGGTGTTAATACACTGCGACCTAAAAGATCTATTGTGCCCCTTCTGTCGCCAATGCACTAAGGAAATGTCTCAATGCCTATAACGATCCTTCCAATCCTATTTTCTCAAGGAAGTGTAGGATTTGAAGTGGCTTTAAGTTAGGTAAATCTCCCTATTCCATTTGATATCTTCCTAGATATAGTGCCCTTGGATTCTGAAGTGCTACACATTAAGTCAGGATGTGAATGGAGGTTTCGTCCTCCTCCTCACAGAATCTTCACTCACTATCCTCTACTACTCTCAGTTTACTTAGGTGTTCTTTTAGTCGGCAATGCCCGGTAAGGATCCCTGTTAAAATACGTAGCCTATTCTTGCTCAGGCAGATGCAGGCTTCCAATCTTTTCTGGTTATATTCACCCAGAAGTATCTTGGTTTGTCTCAGCCCCAAGAGATTGTTCCAATTATCGGTTCTCTTACTGCTCAATTCTTTTTTAATCTCTCCTAATATTATGTTACTACTGATACCGCAGTTACTGATCATTCACTGTGTGATTCACAGGCAGCATTTAGTAGCAACAGTCTTTACAATATGGTCGACAAGATTCGAAGCAATTCTTTGAACTTTCGGTTATTTGCTCAGCTATGTGAAGAAAACGACGAAATCTTTACTCGGTTACTTCTGCACACCGGATATCAAGAGGTTCCTGGTTAGCAAGGAGTATTTTTTTTGCAAATTCGTGAAAACTAAAACGATTAAGTCGAGTATTAAAAATCCACTAAGTTCATAACTACGATCAATTCAAGGATAATAAACGGTCATTTTCATTTAATTTTCCACTACCTAATAAATATTGAATACATACTTGAAGTGAATTTTCCGTGTACGCCCACGATATTTATTAGTTTAGCGTTGGATTTAAACAACGTTGATACCACTATGAAGACTAGAGAGAAGGAGTTGAATTGGCAAAGCCAAATTTCAAATTTTCGTCCTCGTTTTTGTGAAGCTCGCCAAATTAACTAGGTAGTGGGCCTTCACAACTGACGTTAATTTTTTTCTGTGTGGCAATGTGAATAAAAGTGTGTTTCTACAAACATTATTGAAAAAGTACTAAATATATGAAAACAGTACCTAACATAAATGGCAAAAATCAAAAATATGGCTGAATACAACTCTTGGTGAAATTGATCCAAGCCTTTTTAAAGCTCCTATTGTAAGTAAAATAATGTATTTATTTACAATTGTACTATTTATTGAAAACTAGCTACTAATCTTATCTTGCGGAGTGTAGTTTATTTTAATACACATTTTTATAAGGTTTAAAATAGCCTAAAAACAACATAAGTACACATTAATAATTACCAAAAAGAGTTCTGATCTTATTTTGTCATATCCCAACTCAGTAATCATATTTATCGAATTCTAAACACTTAGATCAATGGGTAACATGTAATTTTTAAAGGTGATAAAGCACTTTCTGGTGATGTTTTTTAGAAGGTGATATTTTAAAATATGAGATAATATTTATATTAATGTTATGTGGTGCATTGAATTACTAATTACATTTGCTTTCAAATAAAGTGTCACAATAAGTTACAGTAAATTTAAAAGTATCGTAATTAACAGTCATATTTCTAAATACCTATTATCTATTTAAAATTAAGAGGATGGAGAAATAGAAGGGACAGATGTCTGTATTGTAAAAATGTGATTAATTTGGAATAAAAATCAACCTGTTTTAGCATAAAATGTGAATAATGCCAAAAAAACAGGATTAAACTGTTTTGAGTGGCCCACTCTGTGTACCGAAAATAGCTAGATTTATCGAATTAGTTTATAGAACAAAATCTGCTTAAAAATACATTTTTTACAAGAAGCGCTACATAAGAAAAATCATACAATCAAATAATAAAAATATATTGAGCGCAGCGACATCTCCATATTAACCTATTTAAAACTAATTTATATCTAAAACTGAAAATTTATTAGTGCTCTATAAACTGGCTTTTACAGAATTAAAACATCTCTATTTCTTGCCAAAATATCCGGCCTGGGCGTTTTTATTGGTACCACATTCGTCACTGAAATTAAATGAATATTTTTTACAATATTACATAATTTAAGATCTGTGTAATTTCAATACTTAAAGAGAATT